ATACACATAAGAGCAAAGGGTGGCAGTGTATTGAAGATAGTCATGAAAAGGATGCAGCCTGTCTGTGTCACTAGTCAGCACCATCCTCAGGCATCTGCCTGCATAGACTATTCAGCCTCTGGAATGACCAGAGCAGGGCTGTCATCTTTCATTTGTGTTCCTGAGGTCAAGGTCTGCTTCTTCTGCATCATCAGCTTACTGGTTGCTGACGAGTTGGGAATGAACTCCCAGTCTCTAGACACTGGGTTTACTCTGCTGTAGTGAATCCAATCTTATCCCCCTTTACTGCTATGGGAGTGGATAGCATAATAATCATGGGCCCTCCAGAGGGGTTTCAGGGTTGGACATTCCATGCTTTTACCCACACAGCATCCCCTGGCTTGAAAGATTGAGCATCTGTGGTTCAAACTGATGGGTATTCTGGGCATGGTGGCACATGCCTGTAATTCCAGCACTTGGGAGGCTGAGGCAGGAGAATCATTATGAATTCGAGACTTCCTGGGCTACAAAGTGAGCTCAAGGCCAGCCTGAACTGCATAGTGAAACCTTGTCTCAAACAAACAAACAAACAAACAAACAAAAAACCCCAAAAAACCAAAACAAACAAACTCATGGGTAATTATTTCTTAATCTACTGGTGGGTTACCCCATTGGTGGGTTAAGAAACAATAGGTTTTATTAACCCATTGGTAGGTGAGCCTAACACCTGCATCTTTTGTCTCAGAATGAGGTTCTCAAACTCCTTTAAATCCTGCCCTTATTCTCTTAATAAGAGGAGGGGGCCAGTTGTGGTGGCACATGCCTGTAATCCCAGCACTTGGGAGGCTGAACCAGGAGGATTCCCATGAGTTTCAGGCCAGTCTGGGCTACATAGTGAGTTCAAGGACAGCCTGGACTACATAGCAAGACCCTGTCTCAACAATAAATAAATAAGAGGGGCCTGCCCACAGAGAACATCAAAAGGGGAAAATCTGTTTAATGGGACTAGACCTAATTCTCAGCAGGGCTATTGGCAAGAGCTGGCTGCAGTACATTGGAGTTTCCTGACACAGTTTCCCCAGCTGTAGCTTTAGAGTCTGCCTCTTCGCTCCACTTTCCCTGAGCTCTGGGGATGGTGTATTTTTTGCTGTCTCCAAGTAATCTGTAGTCCTTTGGCCACCATCTGCACCACTTCCACAAGGAATGCCGGCCCCTTGCCTGACTTTATGGATGATTTTTCTCAGAAGGATCTAGGCCACCTCAGATGGCTTTTCGGTGTGGTAGTGGTAGTGGTGGTGGTGGTGGAAGCAGTCTCTACCCAGAGAAATGTATATTGAGAACACCTTTAGATACCAAGTTTCTGAGTTGATAAGGCTCAACCAAGAACTCTCATACAATTTGGAAATATCTTGTAAAATTGAAGATTTGTAACTATTGTCATCCAACAATTCTTTGGACATACAAGTATATATTCTAGATTCCTGCAACATATATGCAAAGTTTGTATATTTAGCTATGGAGGGCCCTTCCTAGTCCTCCTTATGGCCCAGGAAGTTTATATTTGTTATCCCATGAAAAGTTATTGGGATTCCAGCAAGTCAATTCCAATCTACCACATCAACTGCAACCCATGGCGAGAATAAAGCCACTAAGACACATTTGTAGTTATGGGGAACCAAGGGATCCTAAGTTCAGCCATGATGATGGCTATCTGGAACAAAAGCCTATACCCAGGACTGAACCCAGATTTTATTCATTTATGAAGAAGGGAGTGGCCTGAGGATGAGTGACTGTAAGAGTGGCAGGAAATAAGTGAGTGCCATGAGCTAGGCTAGGTAGGAGGCCTGAAATCACCTCTGCCATATGCAGACAGAAGGATATGCAGAAAGAATAATCTGCATAACACCACTGAGATAGCATCTAATGTTTTGAGGTCAGTGCTTCAGCTCTGATGTGTAATCTTTGAAGCCCCAGGAAGTCATAGCCTCTATTCCCAAGGCTCGATCCCAGCCTGCAGCGTGGAGCATTGGCTCACACATCCCACCTCATCCCGGCTCACTTGAGGGAGCAACAGGGGTTGGGGAAACACGCCTGCCATCTCCAAAGATTACCATCAGCATCTTGGCTAGACTAATATGCATTCCTGAAAGCCAATTGAAGGGGTAAGGAAAAGTCCTAGTCAGCTCTGTACATATCAATACATGGAAATAGGGTCAGGCTCAGCTAAAATGGAGGCAATTGTTCCTCTTTCAAGGAGGTACTAGGTGGTCCTCCACACTTAACAAACAAAATTACTCTATGGAACTATGGTTTATGTCTCCAGTCTCAGAAATACCTATGCCCTTATTTATATCTAAAGGCCCAGGTGTTAAAAGTCTGGTCCTCAGACCATGGTACTATTGGAAGGTAGGTGGACCTTTTGAAGGTGAAGCCTAGAAAAAGAATTAGGTGACTTGGAACATGCACTTGAAGCAGCCACTGAGCTCCCTTCCACTTACCCTCTCCTTTTGCTTTCTGGCTGCCATGAGGTGAATGGCTGTCTACCATGTTCCCACCATGATGTACTGCCTTGCCACAGGCCCAATATCAACAGAGCCAACTGACCATGGGCTGAAAAATCCTTTCACTTTATAAATTGATTATCTCATGTAGTTTGTCACGGTGAAGTAAAGATAATACATATGTCCAAATTGAAATTAAGGTAAACAATGAATACTTTTTTTTTAGTTGATCTGAAATTCAAACTTAATTGGCCCTCTTCTACTTTATCCCTACAAATAAGAGGCAACATACAAAGTGTTTATAGTAGCACTGTTTATTTATGTTATTTTATTTTGGTTTTTTGAGACAGGGTCTTTCCATATAGTACAAGTTGGCTTTGAACTTGCTATGTAGCCCAGGCTGGCCTCAAATTCATGTGATCCTCCTGCCTCAGCTTCCCCAGTGCTGTGATTATAGGCATGTGCAACCATGCCTGGCTAGTAACACTGTTTATAATAGCAAAATCTGGAATCTACCTAGATTTTCAGAGGAAGAAATGAATAAACTGTAAGTTCACCACAGAATATTAGGCAATAGTAAACATGAACTACAGAAATGAATAACAAGTTACTCTTAAGAAATATTAAGTTTAACAAGCAATTCTGTCTTACTTTTCTCTTCTTGCTGAGACAAAATACCAAACACCCAAAGTTAAAGGGAGGAAAAATTTATTTAGCTTACAGACTGTAGAGGTTTCAGTCCATAATCAGCTGGCTTTAAGGCACGGTGGCATGGCAGCGGGGCAACCATTCACAGCGTCAGAAGATACCAAAAGCAACAAAAGAGAAGGAGGAGGAGGAAGAAGAGAAGGAAGAGAGAGAGAGAGACAGAGAGAGAGAGAGAGGGAGACAGAGAGAGGGAGAGAGAGGGAGAGGAAGAGGGAGGGGCCAGGGAGAGGGACAGGGACAGGGAAGCCTCTTCCATCCCTTATATTGTATGCAGGCTACTTGCCCTAGGGTGGGTATAGCACTCACACCGTTAATCACAGCATTACAGTATGACTAACTCTAGTAGCACCCGCCCCCGCCTCCCGACTGCATGAGGCTTTGGAGGGACATCAAGACACAAACCATAACAAATTCAAAAGTACGTGTTATACACTGCAATACCATTTCTATAAAACTCAAAACCAAACACAACTAAAATATGTTTAAACACACAGGTGTGATAAACATATACAAGAGAATGAGAAATAAAAGTCAAGATGGGTGTTACTAAGGTTATGGGTATGGTTTAGGTTTATATGAGGGGTTGGCAATATTCTGATTCCTAAACAGGAAGACAGGTGTTCGTTTCGCTGTTGTGCTTCTAACCTCACACATCATGTTTACATAAAAGTATTTAAAAAGAACAATGATCAGGAAGGTTAAATGAGTTGATCCCCCATCTGCAGACAACCCAATCCTTTTCTAATATATCGGGACACATCTAAAGCATAGCACTACAATAGCATGCCTTGCAATCAGAAAAATGGTCCAAAGTACTCCACAGCTGGCTTCTGGAAGAAGGTAAGAGGTAGACTATACAGAGTCAATTTAGCCAAATAACAAGACCTATTACGTAGGCAAACTCTACTAAGTACTGTGCTGGCTTGGAGCATAGGAGTGCATGGGAGGACTGCTTGCAACAGGGTCTGAAGCACAGCTCTTCCCCAGAAGGGATCTCAAAACCACTTGGTGTATGTTATGGTTTGTGTCTGGATGTCCCCTCAAGGCCTCATGCAGTCATGGGGCGTGCTTCTAGAGTTTATGATTGATCCATGGTACAATGCTGGGATTATGGGTGTGAGCGCTATATCCGCCCTGGGGCAAATAGTTTGCATACAATATAAGAGAGGGAAAGAGGCTTGCTTGTGGCTCCTCCCTTCTGCTCTTGTTGCTTTGCTGTTTTTCCATTGCCATTTCCCTGTGCCATGTGCCACCCTGCCTTGGAGCCAGCTGAGTGTGGACGGAAACCTCCACAAACTCTGAGCTAAATAAACCTTTTCTTAATTTTGGGCGTTAGGTATTTTGCCTCAGCAATGAGAGAAAAGCAAGAGGGGGTACAAGGAGACAGCCACTTGTTAAGCACTGTATTAAGGTGCATAAACTATAAAGGGTCCCGGGATCACAGGAAAAATGAGTTGAGTCCATTTCCCAGTAAGCGCTCTTTTTCGATCCTTCCACGTGGGGAGTGGGTTTGACTGCCCCCACTCCAAGGTCCTTTTTAAGAAGTGTTAGTAATGGTAAAGCTAGTTTACACACACCAGCGGAAAATGAAGACCTAAAATCCTTTTGAAGCTCAGAGCAGTCTTGACATACAAACCCCTCCCCGGCAATTGAAAGGACCAACTCTCCTATTCTAAAGAAATTCCAGCTCGCAAAACACCGCCTCCCTCTGGCGCACGCGCAGTAAGCACCGGGACGGCTGGCTCGGGCCGGATGTAGGCGGAGCTAAAGGCGCAAGGCTGTACGCCACAGCGCGCGTGCGCACGTCGCACGGGGCGGGGCGTCGGGTTTGGTTTCCTCGGCGACGGCGACCGAGGGCGGTTGATTAGTGTTCCGTGCTGACTGCGGAGGCATGGAGGCTTCTTCCGGCTTGCAGACCGATTGCGAGAAGCTGCTTAGCCGCTTTCAGGAGATGGACAGTGTGCGCTTCGAGGACTTCACGGAGCTCTGGAGGAAGATGAAGTTTGGGACCCTCTTCTGGTGAGTGTCTGCCCACTTCCCGTGCTCGCGGCGTGGGGAAGCCTGGGCGCGGGCGCCGCGCTGCCCCTGGCGTCCCTCCTCGCAGCTCCGACTCGGAGCGGCCAGGCCCGGTCTTGTTCGCCGAGAACCCCACGTTTAAAAACAAACCAGTACCGGAGCAAAGACAGAGTCCTGCGTGATTGCATTAACTTTTCCGTGCAGCAGCCAGCGTTGTCTTCTGAAGTTCAAATTCGGTGTCACTTCCTTCCCGCCTCCCTTCAGCGGTTCCGGTTGCATTTGGGTAAAACTCAAATTCGGTAACACGGCCGGCAACCCTTGGTGCCGCCTCTGCCCACCTTGCAGCCTCCTCGCATTGCTCCAGCAATTGCCTTTGGCCCTGCACAGGCGTTTCCCAAGCCGGGAACCTCTTGCCCACAAGGACCGCTTTATTCTTCACCCACACCTGTGGCCAAGTAACAGTTCCTCCCGGAAAGTCCTGGCCTCCTGTACGTGCTCCGTTCCCGCCCCCATGACACCTATGCTTGTCTCAGCACTTTTACGACCTTTAAGCGTGTACAGTAGTCGAAGAAGGGAATGCAGGGTACCTAATGATTAAGAGCGCAGATGATGGATCCAGCTGTCTGAATTTGGATACAGGTCCCCTGACTAGGATTTGGGGCAGATTACTTGCTTAAGGTTTTTCATCTGTACAGTATTGTAGAGATGATGATAATACCTGATACAGTTGCTGTGAGGATTGAGAGAGCTACTAACGTATGCCTTACATGTGTTTCAAATCCCCTATTCGTGTTTGTGTACATTATTACTTTTAAATTTTTCTTCTGCTAGACTGAACTTGAGAACCATGATTGACAACAGATAATAGTGAAAAGTCTGATTAATCGATTGAATGAGACCTTAAGGTTAAAACTGTTTTGCTGAATAAAATGTAAAAGTTCTCTTTTTTTTTGTCTCTGCTAATGTAAACTATGTAGTTTGTAAATTACAGGGAGTGGGTGACGAGGAGCTATTTATTGTACAGCTCATAAAAGGAGAACCAATTTTTATAAATAGCTACTAAATATGATGCACTCATAGTTTAATTAATTTAATCTAGAGAGCAACTAAGAAAACCGAGTATAATTATCGTTGCTGTATAAAAGATTGAAGCTTAAGAAGGTTGCTTTTTCTCAGGTTGCAAATAGGAAGTGGTAGAGCGCATGTTGGAACCTGTATATGGCAGCTTCTAAAACCCATGCATGATCTTTCAGATCGTACTCCTGGGGGTGGTGCACATCGGGGAAATTGATCCAGGCCAGGGTTACCCCAATTTTTACCGAATAGGGAAATAATTTTGAAGGTGGCATCATGTTCCCCTCCTTACTTGTAATCAGATACCAGAAAGTCAGTGCTTACTGGCTGCAGGGCTGTTATTAAATGAAAATTTCAACACATTTATATTTGTAAAGAGTGTCAGTTACCTGTAGCTATTAAGTAAAACACTTTGAGACGTTTATTTTAGCTAACAGTGTATTAAAAATAGACTTTTTAATCTATTCATTTCAGGTGTCACATAGAAAATAATCTGTATTGCGCTCCAATTGGTCTGAAGTTGGGGCTGGGGATTTAGCTCAGCGGCAAAGAGCCTGCCTGGAAGCGCAAGGTCGTGAGTTCGGTTCCCGGTACCGGAGAAAAACAAAACAAAAAACAAACAAACAAAAAAAATTGGTCTGAAGTTGTAAGAAAGGTGTCATATTGACTTTAGTATGATCTTGATGCTTTTTAAAAAAGTTTTGGTGAAGTTGGCAGTTTCAGATAGTTTATTAGCGATAATTTCAAGTTTCTTCTTCTCTACTCTGGTCAGTTCGGCAAGTAAAGTTGGTGGTTTTGAAGGCTATAAGCCGTGTTTACCTGACAAGCCCTTTGTGCTTGAGTCCAGGAAAGGGTCCTGCAGGAAATCTTCACACTGTTATTGGCAACTGCTTTTAAAGAAGTATATACCTGTGCTACCTTTTTTGGTCATTTATTTACTTAGTGAATCATAATTTATATATTTTTGTTTTACAGTGGCAAAATGAGAAATTTAGAAAAGAACACATTTACAAAAGAAGCCTTAGCTTTGGCTTGGAGATATTTTTTACCTCCATACACCTTCCAGATCAGAGTTGGTGCTTTGTATTTGTTGTATGGATTGTATAACACCCAGCTGTGCCAACCAAAACAAAAGGTAATATTTGTGAGTTGTTCGCATCCAGTAGGAATGTGAAACAGGTACCCTATTCATTCTATATGTACTGACTGAAATAGAAATAGTGTTTCAAAATTGTAACACATTTATGAATAACACATCTTTTTTACTCTTTGTTATTGCAGATCAGAGTTGCACTGAAGGATTGGGATGAAGTTTTAAAATTTCAGCAAGATTTGATAAATGCACAACATTTTGATGCAGCTTACATTTTTAGGAAGCTCCGAGTAGACAGAGCGTTTCACTTTACAGCAATGCCTAAATTGGTATGTTGCCTTAAGTAATTGTCTTTGTCAGAATGAGCAGTTATACTTACTTTCCAGAAAGCACCTCAATCTTCAGAAAAATGGAAAGACTGTTAGTAGTGTTCAAGACATGTAGTTTTCTTGAACGAGGAGAAAATGTTTTCTGATTACTTTTTTCCTTGCAAAGTTCGGCCTCTGCTTTTTTTTTTTTTTTGGTTTTGTTTTTTTTTTTTTTTTTTTGGTTTTTCTCCGGTACCTGGACGGCCTCTGCTTTTGAATACAGTATGTTTCTGGACGCCACATATAAGCAGATTTGGGGGAGAGGAAATGAGATTTAGCAACTTCCTGTGCTTGTACATTTTAAAATTTGTATGTCAGAGGAGTTACTCAAAGAGGACCAATGAATTTTAATGTCAGTTGGTGAAAAGGTGGCACTTCTATGAAAATCTGTTGTTTTGTCAGTTTTGTGACAATGGTACTAGATTAAAGAGGTTCTGATTGTGCCATTACCTGGCAGATTGTTAACGTCTGAACCTCATTTAAATTTATAAGAATGTGGCTTGGCATCTAATGGGGTAGTCTAAGTCTATAGTCTTTGGAAGATGGATATTTAATAAGTATACACCTACTTACTTTTTAAAAATTCATATATATTGATAATTTTTATTGCTGACCTGTCAGGTAGTTTCCAAATATCCTTTAACAGACATCCACTTTAAAAGACATTTGTTATCCTTTAGCTTTCATATAGAATGAAGAAAAAAATTCAGCGAGCTGAAGTTACAGAAGAATTTAAGGACCCAAGTGATCGTGTAATGAAACTTATCACTTCTGATGTATTAGAGGTAAATTTGCTTTTATGCCCTAAAATGTAAAAAAAAAAAAAAAATTATTGCTGATTGTATATTGTGGTTATAACTACTTCTTCTGGGTATGGACAAATTTTTAGTGATTTTAACAAATCACAATGCTCTGTTTTCTCTAAAGCATCAAAAATGAAACACCCTACATGTATCTAGATTTGTAAATTTTGACACATAGTAAGAAACAGATGTAGAAAACTTAGATTGAACATTTGTGGGTTTATGTACTAATTCATGTTCTAAAACTACTGTGGTATGTTTGACTTTACATAGGTTAAAAAATGAGTTTAGAGTGACTCTGTTGATCTGTTAACAGTAGGCATTTATTTCCTAAGTTCTGTTTTTATAGTACGTACTTCCTTTCTAAGTTTCTTTTAACAACGTTTATTTAATTGGATGGTGATTAGATGGACAGTGTTGAAAAATCTTTTTGGCACGGGTGAGCAGCGGTACTTACAGACTTCTACCTGCATAGAAAGCATCTGACATAAGCCCAGTACTGGATTACATGCAGCCTTCTAATCATTGATGTTTCCAAAGAATATAGACGGGAAAGTGGTGAGGACACCTTGGTCACGTTTACTTCATCTCTTGGAACCTTAGTTTCCTTCTCATTAATGCTAGAATCACAGTCTTTTTTAAAAGGCAAAGTTTTGCTGTGTTTCCCTATGGTCCTCTAACTGCTGGTCTCCAAGGATCATCCTGCTTCAGCCTCCTAGGTAGTTGGAAATACAGGCGCCCCCACCTCACCTGGCTGTGACTGCAATCTATATTTTGTCCAGCTGTGAGACCTGAAATGCGGCGAAGCCCAAAGAGTGCTGAGTGGGGCATATAGCGCACAGTGGACCTGAAATAAGTGTTGCTTCTATTTTTCCCAGCTCTCTTTACACTTTCTAAATCCACAGTGAAAGAGGGATCAGAATTCTGATCTGCTGAAGTGTTCAGCTACCCCAGGGCATTTGTCAGCCAGGTTGCAGCTGTGTTCCTAATTCAGGGAGCAAATTGATTTGAAACCACTCTAGCCTTGTGCCATAGTGACTTTATTTTTGAGGACAGTTTTAATCTGGAGACCATGAATGGGTTTCAGATGGGCCAGCCCCTCTTTAAAATATATGAAAGATCAACGTTGTATGCCTGAATACTTAGAGTGAGGTCTAGGTCAGTATCCTTAAGCTTCTCAAAGGTATTTATACCTCTAAAAAGGTCAAGAATTGAAGGAAATGACATGTTTACCCAATGTCTGAAGATACGGTCTAATACAGGATCTATGCCAGATGTTTAGACCATTTTCTCCTGCCGTATTCCTGAAAAGCAGATGTTTTCAGTAGTTTTAAATTATTTTTTATAGTAGACGTCCTTATCCCTGTGTTAAAGTTGAGTTAGATAAGAAAGTAAAGTTATCTGAGGTGCAGAGACAACAGGGCACAGTGCGGTTAAGCTCATTCACATTTCTGAATGGCTGCAGCGCCTGTGAGTTGGAGCCGAGCTCAGACAGATTTATCATTCAGTAAATCTGACAATCTAAAGTGTAATAAAAAGCAAGTGAGGAAGAAGTATGTTGAAGTACAGGTGATAAAAGTACTTTGTATATGGGAAGGAGTTTATATTTGCTGTGTTTTTGGCAGAAGGGAACTCATTGAAAGTTTTAGTGATTATGTTTAGTGGCTGGTCACTGTTACCTCATTGCTGATTCTGTATATGTGAGCATTCCTTGCTACCAAGCACTTTCTGATTTCTTGGCCAGGTGTCGATTGCACCAGAGTTTACCGGAATTGATTGAATAGGCAGGTTTGGAGATGTGTGGATGTCGTCACTGTAGCCACATGTAATGGAGGTGTCACTAGTTCTCACGTGATCTGAGACACAGGCTCCTATGCCTGGACATGTACAAGTCTGACTGCTATGGGCTCTCTTCTTACCCACAGACCTGCCCATACGCATGAAGGTTTGGGGAGGCTAATTAATAATGTCGAAATGGTTCCATAAAATAAATACCTTCTATATCTTATCACTCAATTCATAATGAAACTTCTGGGCACTTAGGTTTTGAGATCCTGTGGAGGGTTGAATGAAAGTTGTTATATTGCAGTTTCAAGAAAAGCATAAATAACTATAGAAGCATTCTTTTATTTTATTTTACTTTTTTGACTGTGTTGGGAATCGAACCCAGGGCCTTGTATCTACTATGCAAGGATTCTGCTGAGCCACATTCCCAGCCCTGTAAATGTCCTTGATGTGACAGTATGATGTAAAGATATGTTCTTAGTTGTCAGAAGTAAAATTTAATGATATGTTATAATACAAATCATTTTGTTATGTCTGGGAATGCAATTCTGTATTTCTCAATTAGACTTTTCCTATTGTTTCCCCATAACAGTGTGGTTTAGCTAATGTTTGTTGAGCTGAGTTCAGTGAACTCATGCTTCTAAAAACTAACTGTTTTGTTAAAAAAGCTGTATTATTTTGCGTGATTATATTATTTTCATAGTACTGCTGCACACTATTTCCTGCCAACTGACAGTCACCTTAGAAGGTAATTTTGTGCAACATTAGTTTGCCTTTAAGTTTCTCCTCAAAAATTAAAATCAAACCCATGTATTTTCACTTTCAGGAAATGCTGAATGTTCATGAGCATTATCAGAACATGAAACACGTAATTTCGACTGATAAGTCCAAACCGGACAAAGCCCTCAGCTTGATAAAGGATGATTTTTTTGATAATATTAAGAACATAGTTTTGGAGCATCAGCAGTGGCACAGAGACAGACAGGTAAGAAGGGGGCCTGCTCCTTTGCCTTCTGCCAGGCATGAGAGTTGAGTGCTGAGGCAGCCTGGCTTCATGACTGCCTTCCTGAGGAGCTGAGATTTGGAGGGTTTTACTTCTCTAGTTTTGGCTTTGTCACTCAGTAGCTATGTCATCTGATTTGACTTCTCAAATGGATTTGTGTGTGTGTGTGTGTGTATCTTGTACCGCAGATTTATTTATAACCTTTGTGCTTGGCATTTCCATAGGTTGCAGATTGACAGTCTTTGGCCGGATCTGGCACAGTGATACATTTTCTCTGGCATAGCATTGATCCCAACATTGTTTTAAAATTTTGAATTAATCACCCACAGTAACAGGATATGTGCTTATCTGCCTGCCATATCCTGTACGTGATGTGGCTTGTCTATCTGCAGATTTCATCAGCACAGATGTCCAGTTTAGTTTTCTGACCCGAAGGTATGGATGCTGGAGCTGGGCACATCAGCCTTTTCAGCTAGAGAAACTTCTTCCTTGGAAACCTGAATGCACTATTGCTAAATTCATCTTTTTTTTGTTGTTTGTTTTTTTTGAGACGGGGTCTTATTATGCAGTTCAAACTGGTCTTGGGCTCACTTTGTAGCCCAGGCTGGTCTCGAACTCACAATGATCCTCCTGCCTCAACCTCCCAAGTGCTGGGATTACAGGCATGTGCCACCATGCCCGGCTGCTAAATTCATCTTTTAAACTATCCCATTTCATTTTAGTAAGTATATCTAGGGAAGAAATAGAAAAGAAGCCATTTCTGGTTACTTATTTATCTGGGCATGTGTCAGTGTATTCACAAATGCTAGAGTAGGTATTGTGACCCATAGATTGTCTCTCAGAAAGATTTGTTACTGATTTTGTCTTTCCATGATATCAATGAACCGTCTCAAACTTAGTTATAGAAAAGATAAAGAAGGGAAGAGAGGAGATGCTAGTCTTGGGAGGAAGACAATAATTACTTATTTTAAAGAGGGTAACAAGTTTTAGAATGTTTGAATACTTTAAGTCACAAGTAGGCTACATGAATGACTGTGGCATTTAATAAATCTGTTAGTATCCTTTTAATAGACAAACTCTCTTAAATGAGCAACACTAACTCAGGGGTGGTGGTGCAGGCCTGTAATCCTAGCACTCTGCGAGACTAAGGCAGAAGGATTGCAAGTTTAAGTTCAACCTAGACAATTTAGCGAGACCCTGTCTCCAAATAAAAAAGGCTGGGAATGTAGCTCACTGCAAAGGTGTGGGTTCGATCTCCAGTACTGCCAGAGTGGGGTGGAGTAGGGGATGGGGTAGGGGCCTGAAGGACCCTAATAAGACCTCAGAAAACCTGAAGGAAGGGAAAATAAACCAATTTTCTTCATGCTACATAAAGTGCATGCTGTCCTTCATTACTTAGAAGGCTTTCAATATTTTATTGATGTATTTTACATGGGTTCTGAAACCAAAATGTGATCTTATTGTCAGATGGTGAACCATGCTGTAATTATATGAAATGGTCTTGTAGTTTTTTAATGATTAAGAAATAACTGATCCTCAGTGTTGTAAAATTGATTTGTATTTATTGGAATTGCAAATGTGTGTATAATAGTATATATAAAGAAAGCTTCTGTTCTTTCAGAATGCACCCTTAAAATCAAATCTTAAAGATGAAGAAGAAAAGAGAGAAGGAAATGCACAAGAATCACAGGTCAGCACGCAGCTCTGTGATCACTTATGGAGCAGCAGTTTGCTTAGGTTCTTTCATCTTTTTGCGTGGCCCTGATTGCGTATATAAAGCTTCACTATCCTTAGTCAGCATTAGAGTAACTATCAGAAAAAGTTTTGCATCGTAAGTGCTGCGTGAAACTGGCCCACTGGGTTGTGGAGCCCTGTGAAGGGCTGTGAGGTGTGAGTGGGAGCGAGGTAGTGACCAGGTTTTACTGGTAAAGGGTAAGCTGCTTGTGGGTTCTTAGGTGCCGGCCTCTGTTTGCTGACTCCGGAGTTTTTTTTTTAACCCTTGCGGGTGAGACATGCGCAGTTTGGGCCGAAGTGGGCAGGGAAGGAATGGCGCGCAAGGCCTTGTCTCATCACAGTGGTTTTGATCCTGCCTTGTTGCTCGGGTTTGAGTAGGAGGGACAGCGTCTGTGTCTGGGGGAGGCCAGGGCCTGTGCTGGTAACCTGGTGCTCCGTGTATGCCCAGTAGGGATCCCATTTGCTGCCCTGTCATCTGTCTTACCTTTGGTAACAGATACGGGGTTTGTGATTTCACCTGGTGTCTGTGTGTTTTAACTGTTTTTCCTTCTTGTTTATTTTTATTCCAGAGATGTGAAAGAGCTGAATCATTAGCAAAAATAAAATCAAAAGCCTTTTCAGTTGTTGTTCAGGTAAGTTACTTCGTTCATAAGATAATTTGGAAATGGAATGTTTTTTAAATCACACTTCAATTTCTCACCAAAAACATATAAACAGTGTGTGCAGTTTAAAAGCTGAGTAGCAGCTCCTCTGTCAGCAGCCAGCCCGGCCTTCCCTGCCCAGCGCCTCCGCTTCCGCCTCTGTGCTTCCGCCTCTGTGCTTCCGCCTCTGTCCGCCTCTGTGCCACTACTCCTGAGAGATGGCCCCCTGCGGCTTCTCTTTGTGCTATTTCTTCTCTGTCAGCTGGTTCTTCTGGCCTTCTCCAGGAACTTTTTCATTTTCTTTCTCATCTTCCAGTTTCTGATATTCGTGATCTTGGGAAATTTTCAGGTTTTCTCCTTAGCCTCAGAGTTTGGTAATTCTGTGATAAGTGCCTTGGTCTGGGTCTTCTCATGCATTGCTCTTGGCAGTCCAGGTGGCCATCCTTTTAGTCTGCCACCCTAGGGTTCTGAGGAATTTTTTTGTGTTTCTTTAATGTTAACTCTTTGTGGGTTTTTTGAGAAAGGGTCTCGCTATGTAGTTCAGGCTGGCCTTGAACTTACAGTGATCCTCCTACCTCAGTCTCCTGAGTGCTGGGATTACAGGCGTGTGCCTCCACACCCAACTCTTTTTTTTTTTTTCCTAGTACCAGGAATTGAACTCAGGATCTCGCACTTGCCAGGCAGGCGCTGTGCCGCTGAGCTAAATCGCCAGCTCCCCAGCTCTTAACTTGATTGTTAAAGAATTTCTGCTGACATTTTTTCATACGGAGGATTTTTCTTATTCTCTAAATCTTTAAAAAATTTATTTTTTTTCACAGGATGCAATAATTCCTCTCTTGAAGTATATTAGCTATAGTTTTTGACGTTTCCTGCTTATTTTGATATCTTTCTTTCACTTTACTGGGTATTTTTCTTTTTTTTCCCCTCTGGAAAGATTGAAGAACCCTAAATGTCTGCTCATATTTAAGAGTAGCTAACAGGAGTTAGCTAGTTTCCTTTTTTTCTTTTAAGAGCTGAATATATTTATTGGGGGAAAGAAAGCTTCTGTCTGAGATGGAAGGGGTCCTGAGTGAGTTACCAAGGAACCTCCCCTTTCTAGGGATTTTTATAGAACAAATCCATGAGGAGAGGTGGGTCCAAGGTGGGGAAAAATGGGAAATCGCAAGGTGTGCATAAGGTGGGACAAAACTATGGTCAACCAATAAGATTATGAGTATGATTGCTCAGGTAAAATTTATTAAATTGGGATCAAATGGGGAAGTCACAAGCAAGCCAGATTGCCAGATCGGTCATTGCCCATTACTCCCTCACAGCAGTTCGGGGTACTTCTTCAGAAGGGGGAATGTTACAGGGAGCTACGTTAGATAAAAATACTATAGGCAGTCCGATGGGGCTAGGCCCTCAAGGGAGTCAGTGCAGAAGACTAGATACCTTGCAGCTGTGGGAGAGACAGACACCTCTGCTGTGGGCCAGACCTGAAGACAAAGGATAAAAAAATGCACCCATGTACTTCCTAAGCATAAACTTCAGGGATTGATATTCTAAATAGGTAGCAGTCACCTTGAGGAAGCCAGGTAGAGCCACTAACCCAGCCCCCTACAGGAAGAGCCCCTGTTCTGTGTTCATGCCCCTACTTTTCTTTTTCCTGTATCTAGTCACTTTGAATAAAGAGCAGTCCTGTCCTCCCTTGTGTGGGAGGGGAGGGGAGGGTGTGAGGCAGGCATCGGTGCCCGGGGAACTGCTTGCAAAGTGAGCCGGAGGCCCTTCTCTACTGGCTGCCATCCTTTCCCTACTCTGCACTGAGGCTTCCTCCCCGTCCTCAGGGATGCCGTGACCTGAAGATGGCCTGAAGCTGGTGGCCTGCTGGGGTAGGTCTCCCCGGAGGGTGAGCCCGCCTTTAGGAGTGGGAAGCAGGACACTTCCTGGGCAGACTGATCACATCTACCCTCTTTTCCAGACTGCAGTTCCTGGTGCTTGCTTTATCCAGCTTCCACAGCGCAGTGTAGGCAGTTAGCTTGTGGCCTTCTTTGTTCTCTCAACTCGCCCTTGCTGGCTTTTCCGGTTTCCATCTCCTAAGTTTTATTTCCTGTTACTTCTGCTTTTGGGCATTTTTCTTTCACTGTCATGTTAGTGGGGTTTCAGAATGGAGTACTGAGAAATTCATGTGCTTAATTGCAGATTTTTTTCTCTAGACTTTTTCCATGAATCTAAGAATATGTTTATTTCATGGAAAAGTACTAGCATTCCCCAGTTTGTTTTATTTATTTATTTATTTATGTGTTTATTTTTGGTACCAGGAGTCAAACTCAGGACCTTGTGCTTGCTAGGCAGGCGCTTGTGCTGCTGAGCTATATCC